GCTCCGATCCGCCAGCGCTGACTGGCGGAACGGACGGGGGAGGGGGCGGGTACAGCTGGCTCTGCCTCTAGATAGGCAGAGCCAGCTGTCACTCACGTAGCTGGGCGGATATCGACATCGATGTCGGGATCCGCTCCGGCTGCGGCGTCTCAGTATACCGCGAGCTGTAGCTCCCTATATACTGAGCCTAGGGTGACGGGAGGCCGCTAGTTTGTGTCCTCCCGTTACCCTAATGAGAACTATGGGGGAAAAACCTGACCTCATAGCTCTCCTTTAAGCACAAGGGGTGTAGGTGGTTCTTCTCAGTCAGAGCGGTCAGGGTCTGGAACTCTCTGCCGCAAGCCGTGGTATCAGCTGAGACTATTAAAACCGTCACAAAGCATTTAGATACCTTCTTCAGAGACAGTAACATACAGGGGTACAGGTAACATACAGGGGTACAGGTAACATACATTGGTACAGGTAATATACATGGGGTACAGGTAACATACAGGGGTACAGGTAATATACAGGGGTACGGGTAATATACAGGGGTACAGGTAACATACAGGGGTACAGGTACCCATAAAAAATAAGATCACATAGGGACTCGTACACACGCATACACACGCAGAATCCAGAACACGCAATGGGTTGAACCTGATGGACCTGTGTCTTTATTCAGCCTCGAATATTATGTAAGATTGCCCAACCCGGCCACCACCGGAGGAAGAAGAGGTGATGCCCCTGGACTAGCAGGAGGACTGTATAGGGGTTTTTGGGGGGTGGGGGTGAAATGATGGAGCTCAGTGTAGAAGTGAATAGTATAAAAGATAAAATATGAATAAAATGTGGAACTTTCCAGAAAAATGATTGTGCGTCTGTGTATTGTGATGTCGGGAATGCATTCATAGAGACTCGGTGAGACACGGACAGGTCCACTTTAACAAGCTGGTAAAATTGGGTTACAATAAAACAAAAAATTCACTTTGTTAATACCATTTAATGATCCGTCTATAACAAATCTAACCCTGGAAATCCTCAGCACTGCGCGGGTGGGCGGGGGATGGGGAGGGGACACGGACCAGGGGAGGACATGGGAAAAATGGGAGCTGGCGCTTTCAGTGCACGGAGTTCACATTCTCGGGATGGAAGGTTTGTAATCATCCTTCTTCAGGTATTTGGGGGTCATGAGTACGACGCAAACTTTCCCCATCTTCTGACCGAGGCTCCGCACAATGACAGACGGAGAAAAGAATGACTACGGGAAGCCGTGGATGGCCGCCCTCTGTGATATCGGCCTCCTAGGTTTTGGCCTTCATCTTAAAAAAAAAAGACAAGTCAGCTCATGAGAAGCCGAAGAAGTCTTCACAGAGCTTGAAGTCAAATCACAGCCATCCCCTGGAAATGGAATGTCATACTTAATGATACTATTTAATGCTATGGAAGACACACAAAGGGTTCCTAGGAGCTTCAGCATTTCTCTTCGTGAAGATAACCCTTCCCCCCCTTCCCCCGCACGTATAGGGAATCTGTCATTTTGCCCATTCACTGCTCCATTCATTCTTCGGAAACGTAAGCTCCATGGAGGTCTGCGTTGACTTGTTAATGGTGATGAGCGGGGGCTTGCTCACCTAAGTTGCCCCAGGCCGGCCCAAAACTGAAACACCCCCCTCCCTGCCCAATCAGTTGCACCAGGGGCATTCCCCGCCCCTTTGTGATGTGCAGCTGCAGGGCGGGGAATGCCTGAAGAGGGGTGTGGCGGTCATGGTTTCGAGCATCTCAGGTGAGCAAGCCCCAGCTCATCACTATTAACCATGAGTCAACATAGATCTCCATGGACCTTACATTTCCAAAGGATGAATGGGGCAAAGCCCCAGCTCAATACTGATGGCCATCACCCCTCCCCCAAGTGGCAGCATTCAAGTCTGCTGAGGTTCAAGCATGGCATCCTGGGAGGAAGAAGGTCACATGCTCCCCATCCCTGGAATTCCGGGGTATTTCCGAGGACTCCAAATGGATCAGTAAGGGGAAAACAGTGAAGGTGGTTGAAGGAGGGGAGGGGTGTGGCCTTCTAGGAGAATCTGTGGCGTGCGGGTGTGGTGATTGGCTGATTAGGTTCGAGTATGGCATCCTGGGAGGAAGGGGAGAAGGTCACATGCTCCCCGTCCCTGGAATTCTGGGGTACTTCCGAGGACGCCAAATGGATCAGTAAGGGCAAAACAGTGAAGGTGGTTGAAGGAGGGGAGGGGTGTGGCCTTCTAGGAGAATGTGTGGTGTTCAGGTGTGGTGATTGGCTGCTGAGGTTTAAGCATTGCATCCTGGGAGGAAGGGGAGAAGGTCACATGCTCCCCGTTCCTGGCATTCCGGGGTATTTTCATGGACTCAAAATGGACCAGTGAATGATAACAGTGAAGGTGGTTGAAGGAGGGGAGGGGAGGGGTGTGGCCTTCTAGGAGAATGTGTGGTGTTCAGGTGTGGTGATTGGCTCCTTAGGTTCAAGCATGGCATCCTGGGAAGAAGGGGAGAAAGTCACATGCTCCCCGTCTGTGGAATTCCGGGGTATTTCCTAGGACTCCAAATGGAACGGTGATGGAAAATGGTAAAGGTGGTTGAAGGGGGAGGGTTGCCTTTTAAGAGAACCTGCCACATATTTCCCGTTCTTTTTGAACAATCGATATCTTCAATACAGAAGCTGGCGAGAATCTGCAATTATGGTTCCTAAGAGTCATACAAGAGTTCCTGGAGACGGCACACCGAGTTTTACTTTGCAATCTGAATCCAGGACCACAGCGCTCCCAGGGCTCAGCATTATCCATGCCACACACTTGGAATACATCCTGGTCCTGATCTGTG